CTTACAATTTTGAAGGGACTCTTCCCCTTAGACGAGCTCGTTTGACAATTGAAACAGAATTGGACAACATCTAGCAATTGTCTCCAGTTCTTCTGGCGAGCGTCGACGAAGTGACGTAAGTATTCTTCGAGCAAGTAGTTGAACCGTTTCGTCTATCCATTGGTTTGAGGATGGTAGCTCGAAGAGATGTTTAAAGTCGTTCCCAAGAAGGTGAATAGTTAGGTCCAAAATGTGCCAATGAATCTACAATCCCTATCATTGATGATGCTCGATGGAATGCCCCATAACTTGACGACGTGTTTGAAAAATAGTTGGGATGTTAGTTCAGCCAAGCATAATTTGGGAGTGGGAACAAACGTCGCATATTTCGAGAATTGATCTAGAGACACACTTTCCCAAGGTCTTGTTGGCACAGGTAGAGGTTCCAAGAGTCCCGAGACTTTGGCTTTCTCGACTTTGTCCTATTGGCAGATGAGGCATGTCTTGGTGTACTGCATGATATCGTCCCGCATATTCGGCCATAAGTACCCCCTTTTTTATTAGGGTATACGTTTTTTGCCATCAAGGGTGTCCTGCCCATAAGGTATCATGACATTCCTGAATGAGCTTCTTCCTCAGTTCTCCCGTTCTTGGGACGTATAATCTGTTTCCTTTAGACATTAGAAGGTCTCCCTCGACCCAAAACTGTCGTGTCTTCCCAGCTTTAGCTGGTTCGACGACGGCTTTGGCCGATGGGTCTTTGTGTAAATGTTCTTTGATGATGTCGCGCATCGATCCATCGATTTTAAATATGGGCTAACATGCACAGGGCTGCATGTTCGCCCTTCCGACTCAGTGCATCGGCTGCTTGATTTCTCTTCCGACTGCTTGTTTAAACAGTGTCAGATATTATCGGCAGTGGGTATTTGTGTACCATCACCTTGTTTAAGGCTCTATAATCTATGCACAGACACAACGTCCCATCCTTCTTTTTCTAAAATAGTATGGGGGCTCCGTAAGGTGCTTTTGTTGGGCGGGTGAATCCTGCCGTCAACAACTCATCTAGTTGTTTCCTCAATTCGGCTAGCTCAGAGGGAGCCATCCGATATGCGTTCTTCGCTGGGGGTTTAACCTCGGGAAGGAGTTCAATTTCGTGATAAATGCCTCAACAGGGTGATAATGTTTGTGGTAGGCTCTCTGGCATTATGTCGGCATAACTATTTAGTACCTCCTTGATTTCGTCTGGGATAGTTTCCTCAATAGTCACTTCTTCCATTAGTGGTATTGTAGCGATCCAGATTTTCCATTTTTGCCTTATTTGGTTAAGATTTTATTTATTTTTTATTTCTATAAATGACGTATCATGTTATGCATTTATTCTCGCTCGAAAAGGTGCAATTTTAAACAAGGAAGTTATTACCTTACTGGAAATGGAAAAGATTCGGGTTTCTGGAATAAAAATAAAATCAAATAAAAATAGAATAAATAATTAAATGTAATCTCGGCGGAGATAAAGGGATTTCCTGAGAGACTCTTATTTTACCTAATAAAATATTCTTATTTCTCCAAATTTTCTTATTCTAAAACCCTAGGATGCCTTATTGGTAAATGTCTTGAGATTAGTTTTATATTTCTATGCCCAACCTTTTACATCCGTTGAAAACAATTTTTCTCCAAACTTTCCTCCGGAATGTTGGGGTTGCTTTCGGAAAAAGAATCGAGTAGAAGTAAGGCATTGATGTTGGGATCATTGTGTCAAAGAAGGTTGACCGTCGGAAATCGGTGTTGAAGACGTTGTGGGATCGTCGGCGCGTCGCCGGAATCGGGAGGCGAAAACTAGGGTTTTGTCGCTTGTCGAGTAAGGAAGGCGAGGTCTTTGGAATCGGGTTGAGCCGCAGACGCACACCTAGCAGCTTCGGTAGCTTCGCACGCGTACACAGTGCGGGTTGTTTCGCACGTGTACGAAATCGGTTCGGTTCCGTCAATTCCCGCAGCTCGACTTGGCGGCTTAGTTGGCAGGCTCGGCAACTAGGCTTAGCGGCAAGGTATCACTATAATATATCGATTCAAAGGTTTTTGGCCATTCTAATGCTGTTCTGCCCTTAGTTTTACCATTTGAGATCAGTATGGCTCCTAAACGTTAAAGACAGATTAGGTCGAAGGTTTATTTTGATAAATAGCATGAGGTTTAGCTAGGGTACCTTATGAAAGGTTCTAAATTTTTATGTGGTTATCATAGGACATATTTAACCACTGGGATTAGCTCGTTGTGAGTGACTTCAACCAAGACCATCGAGGTAAGTGACCTTACTGTTGGAGTTAGCTTACTACGTGTTGTATGATGGTGCGTGCCCTGTGGCCCCTGCATGCACCATATTTTATGTGATATGATTATGTGATGTATAGATTGTGTTGATCGTAGATTGTGTAGGTTATGTGATGCATGAACTTGTGTTGACTGTTGACTGTTTATGTTATGTCATGAATGAGATGTTAGTATTATATGCCATGAATATGTTGATTGATGTCATAGATACACGTAGAATTATCGAGTCATGTCATGAGATGTTTATGCAACTGGAATGTTTATGTAATATGCCATGTAATGTAAGTCATGTGAGATGCCATGTGATGTAAGAAACGTAAATACGATGTTAGCACTGCTTATGTAATGCCATGTTAGATACGTTAAGGGACCTCATGCATATATGTATGTCACATGCAACGGGATTCTTCCCCTTTATGATATGAAAGAATGAAATACGATATTTATGTTCGCCATGATATCATGCGGGCCCTTTTCTGTTTTGTGGTGTCCGGCTACGTGTAACACGTTTCCTGACCAAGTCAGGTCCAGGGGGTATGTTTACGAGCCCGTCTGGTGGGTTCATGTACACGTACATGGGCCATGTGTGAAGGAGTACCACACATCCAACCCTACCCGGAATAGGAAAGCGCCCAAGGCTAAGAAAAGTTTATGAAAAGTTAGGTCCCGCTCATATGTTGCATGTGTTTGCATTCCTAACCCTAACAGTGGGGTGACTTACTGAGTATTTCATAAAATACTCAAGCCACGTACTACCTACATTTTTCAGGTAAAAGCAAGGCGCCAATGTACGGTTGACGGCGGAGCTGAGGCCACCATGGAAGTTGGAGACGGGATATTTTTAGGAGTTTACTTTTATTAGACTGTTTTAAGTTATAGCATTGAGTATTGTTTTATTTGGATTTATTTTGAATTCAGTATTGAAGGGTTATTTTCGGAGTTTAGGTTTTGTTTTGGATTCATGAATATTTATGAATGCCTCTTTCAAGGTTATTTATGATGAGCTTCCGCTTAATGAGATAAGTATGCATGGGTGACGTCACTAATTAGGTTAAAGAAAATTAGGGGCGTTACATGTATAGCCATAAATGTAGGTTCCTCTCGTGCGAGTCCTCTTTTCAATTGTATGGCCGAGATCATTCTAAGATTACCTGGTTGCTTGATACTTGCAGGTATTACTGTGGGATTGCGGTCGGTGATCACCAAGTATTTCGCCAGTGGCATTGCGATAACTTTGTGTTCTAGGAGGAACTCCATCCTAAGTACCACGTCAAAGTCGTCCATGCGAACTACGACAAGGTCCAGCTTTCCTATCCAAGCCCCTAATTTGAAGGGGACTCTTTTGGAAACTCCCACAATAAGCAAGGCCTCGGAGTTGATAGCTTTCATTTTTCCAGGGTCTTTTCCTATGGTGAGTCCCAATCTTCGGGCTTCTTGATCAGCGATGAGTTGTGAGTCGCTCCCGAGTCTATCAAAGTACTCTTGCTCGGTCGAGAGTTTATTGTCGCATCCACAAACATGAACCCTTTCTCTATTATCTCCTTCGGGTCGACCTTCCATTGGAGGGTTGACAAGAATTTGAGCGTGCCCATTCGAGGGTTGTCTTGATCTTCCTTCTTGTCTAGCATAGTCTCGTCTCTTGTGTCGTTTCTCTCTTGAATGGACACTTGGAGTGCAGTGAGAGAGGCCTGATGAACACTTGGACACTTTGTGGGGGCCTTTACACAATATGCATTGTAAAGGTGTTGTCGGGTGGTTCCTTTTAGGGTAAGGTCCTCAAGATGTCCCCGCTTGGTTGTTCTAAGTAGGTCTATCTGTCCACCCGCTTGGTCTGTCGTTACCTCCGTTTGGCCTGTTGGGGCTTCCATTTCGATGACCTGGCGGCTTATATGTTTTGCCCCCAGTGTTTGGGGCCTGTGTCGTTTTTCTTTGGTAACTCGCCTCGTTCCCTAAAAATTGCAGTAGCTAGGTCTTGGACCTTTTTCTCGTGTATTTTTGTTTTGGCCCACAGTTGTAACCCATTTATAAAGAAGAACACCTTGTCCTTCTCTAATGTGCCCCTGATATCTTGCATCAGGGTCGAAAATTGTCTGACATAGTCCCTTATGCTTCCACTTTTCTTTAAGGCTATTAGTTTTTCCATTGCTAGATGGTCTACGTTTTCGGGGAGGAATTGGTTTCTTAACTCTCTCTTGAGGTCTTCCCACGAGTCTATGGTGCACAATCCATTCTTGATGTCTTATACCTTCATACGCCACCAAAGTTTGGCGTCGTCTATGAGATACATCAAGGCTACTGTCACCTTTATGTCGTCGGTACAAACTGGTGTGGCTTTGAAGTACTGTTCGACATCAAAGATGAAGTTCTCCAACTCTTTGGCATCCCGGTTCCCTTTGAAAGGTCTAGGGTTGAGAAACTTCAGTTTGTTGGATCTTGTATTAGTTTGCCCAGCCGAGACGTTCTCCACGGCTTTCATGGTCACCTCGATTCGGGTGCTCATTGTGGACATCTTTTTTTGGATGTCATTGATCGTTGTTCTGAATTCGTCAGCTAATCCATTGAACAAACTCATCATTGTATTTTGTAGCACGTCGAACTCTTCGCCACGTTCCTCCTTGTGCGCGACAGAGCTATCGGGGCTACCAGACGGTCTTGGGCTGCTCGTAGGAGCAACTTTTTCTTCGAGTGAGGTCACTCAAAACATCAGTTCTTCGATTGGCAACCCATCCAGGCAGTTACCCATTGCGTTGATCTCTACGACTTTTCCACTCAATTCTTTCACCCGTGCTTCCAGGAAGCGGATGGTGTCAGGGACTTCTTTGAGGAACAGCATTTCCTCCTCTATTAAAGTAAGCCGGTCAGCTTGTGATTTGGGTGTCGACTTTGTCATCGACATATTTTCGGTCTTTGCTATTTCACGGAGCTTACAAAGCTTTGATACCACTTGTCACAATCACACTTTTAATGGCAGCAGACTTGCGATTGTGTGGCACTCACTTTCCAACGACAAGTGAGCTAAGCCAATTCGTTCTTGCATCACCTACGGCCAAGCGATGTATGCTCAAGCCTCTTGCCTCAGTTTGAAGATAAGGTTTTAGAAAATGAGAGCAGAAAGAGATTTTTGAAAGAGACGTTATATAAGCAAGCAAGAGAGAAATAACAACGGCTTACAGTATATAACCTTGGGTAGGGAGAAGTATGGGCTCACTAGCTAGTTCGCACACCGCTGGGCCACTGTCCTTAGCCAGTGGGCATACCCTGGAAGCCCCTTATGCCGAGACTCGTTAAAACTAGAATCGTCACGGCAGCACTATGCAAAGCATAACGATCGTTGTCCTGCCATTGGATGTACGCGTCCGTACCCTCGTGATGGGATAGGGGTATCCCCCCAAATGCATGAGCACACAATATGCATGAGGTCCCACTAGTCCTACAGTTATCATTAATGAACATAACCCCTGTCACATTTTCATGCTTACATGTCATTCTCATTCTCATTTCTTTACATATCATACATATTCCTAGCGGGGTTATGTTTCATGCAATTTACCGTATTTCATATCATACAATTCATGCAGTTATATTCAAATATTCATACAAACAAGCCATAATCGTTCAAGGACCACACATCGTTACATGCATTACACATCACATCAGACTAAAAGCATACATTCACGTTCACCTAACTACCTACTTAAGCACAATAACCTAGCATACAATGCATCATATCATAAACAAGTCGTAACGTAAACACTTCGTAGTCATATCGTTCTCTAACTTACCATAGCCCTAACGTTCTTATACCTATCACAGACATATAATTACATAACGTACCTTAGTCATATCATCACCAGAACGTATCCTAACGCCATCGTTCTATCAATCTATCACAAACCTATCCTTTTCTACCCATAACCTAACTGTATTCTTTCATCAATCTCTCCTATCCATAGCACTCCGGTATGTAACCTAACCTTAACGTTTCATGAACGTATCTTACTCCTGTCGTTACATTTTGTTTTGTGCATCCTTCTCGTATCCTATCTCAAACATCTCCTTGAGCACATCGTACCATAATTATTATCGTACAATCTACATATTATAACATAACATAACATATAGGAAGCATATCGTTCCACAGACAATTCACACATAGAAATATATATGACACGTGCAGAACCACAGGGCACGTGTCAACATCAAATATAACCATGCCGATAGTAAAGTTACTTACTTGGCTAGCTTAAGTCGTTGTCACGAATATATCTTTAATGAGAGTTCGATTCCGTCCTTTCAAATCCGGGTCAACCTATATGAGCCCATAACATTAGTTTCGGGTTTGAATTCTACAATATTATTTCTCTAATTTACATTGGTCCATTGTTAGAAGTCTTGAAATGTTATATATCTATAATTTTATATTTATTAAAAATCTCATTTTTCATTGTTACTGTGGTATAAAAAGTATATACTGGTAAGTTATTCTGGTAAGTTATTCTGAGCTTTACTATTCTCTGTATTTACCGGTCTGTATTTACCTTTCCCTCCATATTTAGTTTCTGGTTTTTAATTCCCTAATATCTGTATTTACCCTTCCCTCCATATTTAGTTTCTGGTTTTTAATTCCCTAATCTTTTCTTTATCTATTGCCTTCTAATTCTGGATCTCTTCTAATTCTGGATCTCTATTTCCAAATCTTTGCCTTTTAATTCTGTTATCATGTATTCCAAATTTATAATGGATCTCTATTTCCCAATGGATCTCTATTTCCCAATGGATCTCTATTTCCAAATCTTTCCCTCAATGTTTCTTATTTCCTTATTGCATTGTTTCCTATTCATAAGTTTTATTGAACATTCTATTTTTAATCTATTCATTTGGCTGCCTGATAAAAATTTAATCTAATATTACTAATCTGACCTGATTTACTAGAATCGTATAAATAATTGACATTTAGTTTCTAACTCAGAGCTAGATCAGTGTAATAATTCAATGAAGATCTAACCATAATTGGTTGTGATTTCTAAAAAAAATAGGATAAAAGAAAATGAAGATTTAATATATATATATTGATCCGATCTATCTTCACATCTCCGGTGAATGGGTAAAGGTCATTCTCATTTTTTTTTCTCAAGTAAATCTAACTATTATTGATTTTCTGTTTCTTTTTGCAATAAACGTTACTTTCTGCCGTAAGGATGGGTTGAGGAGAGATAATTGTGGGGGAGGGATGAGAGGTTGGTGGTGAGAAGTGGGGAAATATTGTTTTTTTTTTTTTTTCTTCTTCATTAATTTATTTATTAATTATTATTATTTTAACTATTTTTATTTGTTTATTTGTTTATTTATTTTTTTTTGTGCTATTACAGACAATTTCTAAATCCCACTTCCCCACACAGAGTTGCCATTAAAAAGCTCAAGAAAAACCATGAAGTTACAATCTAAGAGTTATCCGAGTTTGTCATATCTAACCTATCCCATTTAATTCTTGCACTTTCAAGGAGGATTTCTTGTGAAGACCACTGTAACGACCCGAAATTTTCTGCTCAATTTAAGGTTGCTACTGTATACGTACCATAAATATTGAATACGGAAGACTTCATTTAAATTCCATAAAACATAACCTTTATCTTAAAACACAACCATGGACTTACGTGTTTCGAAAACATCTTTAAAACGATACAACAAAAGACCCAAAATAAAATAAATAAGTGTTTAAATTTAAAGCATCCTATTCTAGCCTAAGTCTAAGAAAATAAATATCACTATCCTATGCATGTGCCATGGTCTCGAGTTGCGATGCCGTCATCAGCCATACAGGAATGCCTTGCCTTAACCTGAAAAAGTAGTAGCAATACTCAGTAAGTGACCCCACTATTGGGGTTAAATGCAACAATCACATGCAAATGAGATGATGAGACCTATCTTTCAATCTGTCTTCCTACGGTGCTGTTCTAACCGGTAAATTTGGACGTGTACCATATACTCTACAAACAACCCATACGTGCGAGTACGGGCTCACCAGCCAGTTCGCACACTGCTGGTCCATTTTCCTTGTCGGGCGAGCATACTTTGGGAGCTCCTTAGGCTGGACACCCGTTAGAACTAGTAACCGTCACGACAGCGCTATGCAAAACATAATGATCGTTGTCCTGCCATTGGATGTACGCGTCCGTACCCTTGTTTTGGAATAGGGGTATCCTTCAAATGCATGAGCACACATAATGCATGAGGTCCCTAATATTTCTACTTTTATCATTAATGAATATAACCCCGCTATCATCTTTCATGCTTAGCATGTCATTTCTCATTTTTAGTCTACGTATCATACATAATCCTAACGGGGTTACATTTCATTTCATTTGTCGTGATATCCTGTCATTTATAACATGTTGTATACATATAATAGAAAACATAACATAATGCTCCATGCTTTTAACATGTCATTTCATAACGTGGAATTCATACAACAATTACCTCAATGGTCACACAAAACAATCTAAACATGACATATCATATCACAATATATCGTATCATAAACATTGAGTATCGTAAACACTTCGTGGTCATATTGTTCCCTAACTTATCATAGCCTTAACGTTCTTATACCTATCACAGTCATATCGTTACATGAACGTACCTTAGTCATATCATCACAGGAAAGTACCTTAACGCTATCGTTCTATCAATCTATCACAAACCTATCCCTTTCTACCCATATCCTAACCATATTCTTTCAACAATCTCTTCTATCCATAGCACTCTGGTAGGTAACCTAACCTTAACGTTTCATGAATAAATCTTACTACTATCATTACATTTTGTTTTATGCATCCTTCTCATATCCTATCTCAAACATATCCTTGAACACATCGTACCATAATTATTATCATACAATTCACATATTATAATATAACATAAACATAATATAAGCATACCGATTCACAGATAATTCACACATATCAGTATATATGACACGTGCAGAACCACAGGCACGTGTCAACATCAAATATAACCATGTCGATTGTAAGGCTACTTACCTAGCTAGCTTAAGTCATTGTCACAAATATATCTTTAATGAAAGTTCGATTCCGTCCTTTGAAATCCGAGTCAACCTACGTGAGCCCATGACATCAGTTTCAAGTTTCAACTCTACAAAATTATTTCTCTAATTTACATTGATCCATTGTTAAAAGTCTTGAAATGTTATATACCTATAATCATATTTTTATTAAAAATCTTATTTTCCATGGTTACTATTGTATAAAAAAAAGTAGATACAACTATTTCAAGTTATTGCGGGCTTTACTACTCTCTGTATTTACCCTATATTTACCTTTTTTTTTTCTCTATATTTAGTTTGTAGATTTTAATTCCTTATTCTTTTTTTTTATATGGTTACCTTTTAATTCAGTTTTCATGCATTCCAAATTTACAGTGGATCTTCCAAACCTTTCCTTATCTCAGTGTTCTTGTTCACAAATTTTATGGGTCATTCTATTTTTAATCTATTAATTTGGCTACTGATATACATTTAATCTAATATTATTAATCTAATGTGATTTACTAGCATTTGTATAAATTATTGACATTTAGTTTCTAACTGAAAGCTAAACCATTGTAATAATTCAATGAAGATCTAACTATAATTGGCTTCATTTCTATAAAAAAATAGGATAAAAGAAAATGAAGATTTAATATATACCTGATTTAATATATACCTTATTAATCAGATCTATCTTCACGTAAATCTCCTGTGAATCTCAACTAGGTAAAGGTCATTCTCATTTTTTTTTTCCTTAAGTAAATCTCACCATTATTGTTTTTCTATTCCTTTTTTTGCAATACCTATTACTTTCTGGTGTAAGGACAAAATGAAGAGAGGCAATAAGGACCGAATGAAGAGAGATAATTGTGGGGAGGGATGAGAGGTTAGTGGAGAGAAGTGGGGAAAGGTTGTTTTAGTACTGAAATTGGATGGGTACTATGATCATTGGATAATGCTCATGGAAAGCTTTTTTTAGTACTGGGTTTGATGGAGAATGGGATTCCCGCACCAATAGGACACATCATTTTAACAGATACCCAGAAGAAGCACATTGAAGATCATAAATTGAAAGATTTGAAAGCAAAGAATTATCTATTTCAAGCATTAGATCATTCGATAGACAACCCTCAACAAGGATACAGAAAAAAAAAAAAAAAACATATGGGAATCTATGAAGTAGAAATATCAAGGTTCGACATGGGTAAAGCGTGCACATTTGCAATCTCTTCGGAAGGAGTTTGAAATGCTGCACATGAAGGTAGGAGAATCTGTGAATGAGTATTTTGCTCGGACCCTTAGCATAGCCAACAAGATGAAACTAAATGGTGAGAACAAAGAAGATGTTGAAGTAGTCGGAAAGATTCTGAGATCTATGACCCCCAAATTTGATTATATTGTGTGTTCTATTGAGGGAGTCCAAGGATACAACTATCTTAACCATTAATGAGTTGCAAAGTGACACAATCGCGCTTTCGAAGGCAGCGGACACGCGATTGTGCGACACTCACTTTCCAGCGACAAGTGAGTTAAGCCAATTTGTTCTTGCGTCGCCTACGGCCAAGCGACGTACGGTCGAGCCTCTAGCCTCGGTTTTAAAAGAAGGTTTTAGAAAACGAGGAGAGAGAGAGATTTTAGAAAGAGACGTTATATAAGCAAGCAAGAAAAAGATAACAACGGCTTAGCATATATAACCTTGGGTAGGGAGAAGTTGGCGACTAGTCATATCCCCCTATAGTACATTCTGGGCCATTTTAGTTCTAGCAGGCCTAGACATGATATTTTTGAGGTGTCATACGCTCTAGAATTACAAAAGGAAAAACACTAGAANCCATTTGACAATCATTCGACCACGACCAAGGGTGGTCTTTCTTCAACAGCTCTGTCAATGGGGCGGCTCGTCGTGAAAACCCTTCGACGAACCGCCTATAGTAGTTGGCTAGTCCTAAGAAGGACCGTGAACGGAAGTAGGAACCTTCCATTCTTGGATAGCTTTTATCTTGTCGCTATCCATACTAATTTGTCCACNGGGCATGCGGCCATGGGCAACATGCCCTGGACAAGCATGACCGTGACATCCTCCCCCACCTAATTGGTTGACGTCCCTGTCAACCGACTACTTTCATACCTTGCAATGTGGGTGGCGGCGGAGTTCAGCTCTTCGGCGCGTTCCCAGCTTGTTTCCTCTGTAGGGAGATTCTTCCATTTGACANATGCACATTTCTCCTTCTTCACATACAGCTGGTTCTGCCGGAGCTTGTCAAACACTAGCTTCAAGTGCACTTTGTGTTCCTCGAGGGTTGTGCTGTAAACAACAATGTCGTCGAGGTATACTATGACGGACTGATCCGGGTATTCGTAGAAAACCTGGTTCATCAACGTGCAGAACGTAGCTGGGGCGTTTGTCAAGCCAAAGGGNGAGTTCAGCTCTTCGGCGCGTTCCCAGCTTGTTTCCTCTGTAGGGAGATTCTTCCATTTGACAAGGAATTCACGAATCGTCCGTACAGGTCTTCCTATCTTCCTAACCCTGTCGGCTAGGATCTCTTCAACTTCCTTTGTTTCTTTTTGCTTCAGATCGATGTTCGGTCTTGTGGTTGCATTTCGTTGGTCGTCGTCTAGATCAGGGTGATAGGGCTTCAAGTTGCTCACATGAATGACGGGGTGGATTTTCATCCATGCAGGTAGTGCAACTCGGTAGGAGGTAGCCCCGATCTTTTTAAGGACTTCAACCGGGCCTTCATATTTACGAACTAGTCTCTTGTCCTTTCGGCTACGAAATCTGATCTATTCTGGTCTCAGCTTGATAAGGACTTGATCTCCTGCACGAAATTGAAGGGGGCGACGCTTCTTGTCCNTTCAAAGGCCCCATATCTTGTTACGCACGTCGTCTTGGGTTCGTCCCCTTCGGCAATACGTACTTGATAATATCCTGATCGTAAGTCCAACTTCGTGAAGTACTTGGCCCCGTGAAGTTGGTCGAAAAGGTCAGATATTATCAGTAGAGGATATTTGTTGCGTACTGTCACCTTGTTTAAGGCTCTATAGTCTATGCACAGACGCAACGTCCCATCTTTCTTCTTCTGGAACAGTATGGGGGCTCCATAAGGGGCCTTTGCCGGGCGAATGAATCCCGCCTTCAGCAATTCATCCAGTTGTTTCCTCAATTCGGCTAGCTCGGGCGGAGCCATCCGGTATGCGTTCTTTGTTGGCGGCTTAACCCCGGGGAGGAGCTCGATTTTGTCGTCAATGCCTCGACGAGGTTGTAGTGTTTGTGGTAGACTCTCTGGCATTATATCGGTATAGCTGTCTAGTACTTCCTTGATTCCCTCTGGGACAGTCTCTTCGGTGGTTGCTTCTTCTATCAGTGGTATGGCCATGAATGTAGGTTCCTCTCGTGCGAGTCCCCTTTTTAATTGTATGGCCGAGATCATTCGAAGATTACCTGGTTGCTTGATGCTTGCAGGTATTACTGTGGGGTTACGGTCGGTGATCACCAAGCATTTTGCCAATGGCATTGGGATGACCTTGTGTTCCAGGAGGAACTCCATCCCAAGTACCATGTCGAAGTCGTCCATGCGAACCACGACAAGGTCTAGCTCTCGAGTCCAATCCCCTATTTTGAAGGGGACTCCTTTGGAAACTCCCACAATAGGCAAGGCCTCGGAGTTGACAGCTTTCATTTTCCCCGGGTCTTTTCCTATGGTGAGTCCCAATCTTCTGGCTTCTTGATCGGCAATGAAGTTGTGTGTTGCTCTAGAGTCTATTAGAGTGCTCTTGCTCGGTTGAGAGTTTATTGTGGCATCTACGAACATGAGCCCTTTCTCTATTATCTCCTTCTGTTCGACTTTCCGTTGGAGGGCTGACAAGAATTTGAGTGCGCCCATTCGGGGGTTGTCGTGATCTTCCTTCTTGTCTAGCAAAGTCTCGACCCTTGCCTCATTGCTCTCTTGAATGGACACTTGAAGTGCAGTGAGGGAGGCCCGATGAGGACAGTAGGATACCTTGTGGGGGCCTTTACACAGCATGCATTGCAAAGGCGTCGTCGGGTGGTTCTTTTGATGGTAAGGCCCTCGAGATGTCCCCGCTTGATTGTTCTGAGGAGGTCTATCCGTCCATCCATTCGGTCTGTTGGGGCTTCCATTTCGATGGCCTAGTGGTCTGTATGGTTTGCCCCCATTGTTTGGGGCTGGTGTCGCTCTTCTTAGGGATCCTGCTTCGTTCCCACAGTCTACGAGTCTCTCGACGCAGGCCATTGCGGCAGCTAGAGTTTGGACCCAGTTCTCATGTATCTTTGTTTTGGCCCACGGCTGTAGACCATTTATAAAGAAGAACACCTTGTCCTTCTTTGCTGTGCCCCTGATATCCAGCATCAGGGTTGAGAACTGTCTGACGTAGTCTCGTATGTTTCCAGTGTGTTACAGGGCTACTATTTTCTCCATTGCTATATGCCCTGCGTTTTCGGGGAGGAATTGTTCCCTCAACTCTCTCTTGAGGTCCTCCCATGAGTCGATGGTGCACAATCCATCTTCGATGTCTTGCACCTTCGTACGCCACCACAGTTTGGCGTCGTCTATGAGATACATCGCGGCTACAGTCACCTTCTTGTCGTCGGTACAAGCCGTTGTGGCTTTGAAGTACTGTTCGACGTCAAAGATGAAGTTCTCCAACTCTTTGGCGTCCCGATTCCCTTTTAAGGCTCTAGGGTCTGGGAACCTTAGTTTGTTGGATTCTGTATTAGTTTGTCCAGCCGCGACACCTTCCACGGCTTTCATGGTGATTTCAATTCGAGTGCTCATGGCGGCCATCCTTTCTTGGAGGTCGTCGACTGTTGTTCTGAATTCATCAGCCAATCCATTGAACAAACTCATCATTGTGTTTTGTAGTACGTCGAACTCTTCGCCACGTCCCTCTTTGTGTGCGACAGAGCTATCCAGACTATCAAACGGTTTTTGGCTGCTCGTAGGGGCAACCCTTTCTTCGAGCGAGGTCACTCGAAACAACAGTTCTGCGATTGGCAACCCATCCAGGCGGTTACCCATTGCGTCGACTTGGACGACTTTCTCACTCAGTTCGGTCACCCGTGTTTCCAGGAAACGGAGGGTGTCAGGGACTTCTTTGAGGAACAGCATTTCCTCCTCTATTAGCGTAAGCTGGTCGGCTTGTGCTTTGGGTGTCGACTTTGTCGTCGACATGATCTCGGTCTGTATGACGTTACGGAGCACAAAGCTTTGATACCACTTGACACAATCGCGCTTTCGAAGGCAGCGGACTAGCGATTGTGCGGCACTCACTTTCCAGCGACAAGTGAGTTAAGCCAATTTGTTCTTGCGTCGCCTACGGCCAAGCGACGTACGGTCGAGCCTCTAGCCTCGGTTTTAAAAGAAGGTTTTAGAAAACGAGGAGAGAGAGAGATTTTAGAAAGAGACGTTATATAAGCAAGCAAGAGAAAGATAACAACGACTTAGCATATATAACCTTGGGTAGGGAGAAGTTGACGACTAGTCATATCCCCCTATAGTACATTCTGGGCCATTTTAGTTCTGGCAGGCCTAGACATGATATTTTTGAGGTGTCATACGCTCTAGAATTACAAAAGGAAAAACACTAGAATGAAAAGACATGACAAGGATTTGGCTTGTCATGGGCATGCGGCCATGGGCAACATGCCCTGGACAAGCATGACCGTGACACAAAGCAGCCTGCTTGTACATGAACAACGCATGAGTTCTCATGTTGATGAAGACCACGCTTTGAATATCACTCATGGTGAACAATCTAGAGGAAGGGGTCATGGTTGTGGAAGTTTTAGAGGCAGAGGAAGGGGACGAGGCAGACAAACCTTCAACAGGTCCACAGTGGAGTGCTATAATTGTCACAAGCTAGGACATTTTCAATGGGAATCTCAAAGCAAGGAGAAAGAGGCAAACTATGCAAAGACTCAAGAAGATATGTTGTTGACGACTTACGTGAATATGAATAAGGCCAATAGAGAAGATATGTGGTTCCTTGACTCGGGATGTAACAATCATATGTGTGGGAAGAAGAAATATTTTTTTAGATTTTGATGGAAGTTTTAGAGATTGCTTGAAGTTGGGCAACAACTCAAGCATGGTTGTAACAGGAAAGAGTAATGTACGACTGCAAGTTAATGAAATCATACCTTGTACCAGAGTTGAAGAACAATTTGTTGAGTATTGGGAAATTGCAATCAAAGGGGCTTACCATTTTGTTTCAAAATGGAACGTGTGAGGTGTTTCATCCTGAGAGGCTTAATCATGGAGACAAAGATGCCTTTGAATCGAATGTTCGTACTGCATGCTATATCTCGGCCTATAGCATCCACTTGTTTCAATACAATCACAAAATATATTTAACAACTTTAACACTGTAGATATGGAAGACTCTTGAGCAAAAGAAGATGGTGGATGGTTTACCACAGCTCAATTCTCCTTTCCTAGTAAAAATTGTGTGATGGGTAAACAATCATCAATTTTTTTTGTCCACATAAAAAAAAAAAAGCATGTTTAGAAGTTCAAATTCTGCTCTTTCTCACTTCATGGTTCTTAATCATCTCGCTTTCAACACTTTTTTTTCTTTTTTTTTAGAATCCATGGAAGTCAAAGACATAAAATTAATCCTGATTAATTTTTTGAAATGAAAACTTTATTTTATTTGAGAAATTTTATTGGGTTCGAAATTACAATATAAGTTGGAATTCGATTAGCTAAAAATGGTTTTTATAAATAATTTTTTATTTTAACTAATTTCTCTAAGGTTATTGTTATTATTAGTTCATAATTCATGGTTTTCCCCATCACATTCCATATTAAGTTTTCCATCTCTATATACATCATTCCCTCATTCTCAATCTTCATCTCATCTCTCATCGAAATTATGTGGACTCAAACCCTTCCGATCATGGTCGCTTTCATTGCCACTTTCATTTTCCTCCTCGCCCTAACCAACGCTCAAAACGCCCCCGGTGACTACCTTGTGCTTCACAATCGAGCTCGAGCCCAGGTCGGCGTCGGCCCCATGCAATGGAGCAACACCGTGGCCGCGTACGCTCAAGCCTATGCGGAAAAAAGAAAGGGTGACTGCGCCATGATTCACTCAACCGGGCCGTACGGGGAAAACATAGCCGCTGGGTACTACCCTGAGTTCACCGGGGCGGATGCGGTGAAGCTGTGGGCGAACGAGAAGCCGTTGTATGATCATGCGTCGAATAAATGCGTGGGTGGTGAATGTGGGCACTACACTCAGATGGTGTGGCGAAGCTCGGTCCGACTTGGATGTGCTAGAGTGCCCTGTAAGGCTAATTCTCAGTTTGTTGTTTGTAATTACGATCCTCCTGGCAACTATATTGGGGAAAAGCCTTATGATTCTTTGGTGGTTTGAAGAGATTTGGTATTAAAAATTTTATGAATGGTAATAAAGTTTATGAGAGAATCATGATGAATTTATGAATTGAAATAAAGGTATGGTATTGTCTATAATAGTATTATATTGTCTTGTTTGAGTTAACTCCAATGACTTTGTTTTAACCTCCTTGAGTTAACTCTGGTGCCTTTGTTTTGACCTCCTCACTTATAAACCCATGATCATAGAGTCTCCCCTCTAATTAAGTACATCATAGAGCCACCCCTGAAGCCTGTAGATTTCTAGAACAACCTTTCCTTAATCGAGGCTTGACTACTTTCTTTGGAGCCTTTGAACAAAATACACCCTTTGTTTGACACTTTTGACTACAATTTTGAGGCTAACAATTTCTTTGTTCGACATAGCTAAGTTAAGTTCATGGTCTGATAACCATGTTAAGAATCACGAATCTCTACAATGGTATATGATATTTGTCCACTTTGAACATGAGATTTTTTCATAGGTTTGCTTCGGGCTCCTAGAGATGTATTCTTTACTTATAAATCTACGATCATTTCCGAACAATCTTCAATACTGAGAACACCAGCCGCCAGCCAATTCCTGTTCTAAGTCACTCGAAAGAAATGCCCTCGGCAGAGATGTGAAAAACCAGTCCACGGTGTTTTTGAACTCCAAATCGAGAGATGCACGGCAGCATTTAACTCCGCTGCACTATGAGACCCACACCGAAGACAAAGGCCCACTGTTGCAACCTAAACTTTAAAAAAAACATACATATTCATAAACTTTGAAAAGAGTAGGATAAGAAAATGTTTAACAATTTGTTATTTCCTAAACTTTGAAAAGAGTAGGATAAGAAAATGATTAACAATTTGTTATTTTAAAAGTGTCTAATAAGTCTCCAAATTTTAAAAAATTAACAATTTTTAATATAAAAATTTAACCTATTCAACTACTATTTTAAAAATGATGAATTTATGGGCTAGAATGGAAAGTT